TTATTATTATTATTATAAGTCAAGACTAAAATTTTAGTTACTCTGCTAACTATGAAACAGATTGCTGTAGCGGATATGTGTCCGTAAAAGAACCCTTAGGTCTGGTTTTGTCCTTTTAAGGTAATCATATACATCCTTGAATATTAGATTTAGACATGAAGATTTCCGTTTACTTTACCTACCAATTTCAGTGTCTATTACAAGTATGCTTGTATCATTTGCTTTCATAACGTTGTTGAGTATTGCTTTATTTAAAGCTATGTCATGTGTAAATTTTTTATAAGTATTTACCAAAAAACAAGCAATTTTGCAATGAACTTATACTTAAAGTAGTAGTTACTGTCTAATTAATCGTGAAACATTTCGAAATTTTTGACCTGTTACATTGTTTACGGTCTTGATTACAAATTGAATAATAGTAACTTGATGAGGGTGAGTAGTTTTGACGTTTTGACAGCTGTGAGCTACTTCGTTGATATCTAAAGGATGGCATGAAAACATAAAAATGATTAGTTTTAACTCTTTTATAATATTACAAAATTATCTGTTAAACAAAAAAGGTTATTGTTCTGTTTAACTATAAAAAAACTTAATGTGTATTTGGGTTGCGAAACTTAGGAGACTTTAAACACAGTTGCTCTGTAATACCTGATGTGTGATACAATGCGTGAAATATGCGAAAGGGATCTATTATTCGAAGGATGGCTACCACTTAGTGCTCTTACCCGTGACAAAAAAGCAAAAACTTGATCGTTAGCATTACCGTGAGACTAATACTAAAAGCCCAGTAAATGACACTTCGGAAATATTTTATTCAGAAAATTTAATTACAAGCTACTTTAATCAAGTACTCTCAATTAAAATTTGTTGTATAAAAACCTCGTTCAAATCCAAATGTCTCGTATCCAAACGTCAAATATCGTTAAAAATACTTAGCAAACCCTACTACCTGCATTTGTTAAAAAAATTTGGTTAATTGTAATGTTGGGAAGCAAATTCTAAATAAGACAATACAATAGGTTGCCTAAACAGTTTAAGGAGTAAGATTCGTATTCTGAGCACCCCATCTCAAGTGTTCCAGCAGTTAATTATTATCAGAGACTTAATAGAGTCAACTGCATGTCTGTAATTGAGAGGTTATGTGAAAATTACATGGAAATTATAGGATTTTCATGAGTATCATGTAAAAATCACATAATTTTCTTGCAGTGATTTTGATCGATTTAATACGTAGTAATAGTGTGATTTTTATTTTATTTTTGTTCAAACTGCAATAAAAATACATTCCTCTGTGTATANATGTAATAAAATGAAATATGAAAAAAAATAAAACAAGAAATGAAACTAAATAAAAAATTAAAAGAAACAAACCAGGGGGTATAGATGGGTCATGGGACCCACAGTATAAAGACACAATTTCTTAGGTAACAAGGGGGTCGCGAGATCCATAGCAAGAACGAAGCTCTATAAAAATAAGCACTACATCCATGTAGTTCACTAAAACAAAAACTTGGAAAACGAATTTTTAAAAAATAAGAAAACTTAGTTCAGTACTCACGATAGTTGAACTTCGTGAGTTTATTTAAGCGTGCCCTACTGACGAAGCTTAACTATCGTGAGTACTGAACTAAGTTTTCTTATTTTTAGGCTAGAGCGTCCTCAATCCAAAGCAAGTAAGTTAAAAAAAGTTTTTAATAAGTATTATAACAGTAAAGAAAGATCTGCACAATTCATGTACGGAATTTTCTATCAGATACTAACATCATAAAAAGAGCCATGAGCAACGTAAACTGGATGACACAATTGATCCAGATATAAAAATAATGACGGAAAGAAAATATTTCTCGCTACACATTCCAATGATGAAACTAAAACGTGCATCTTGGAAACATAAGTCCGACACTTGCAGCTAAGAAGCAGACAAAAAAAATTGTAAGTTTAAAAAATGAAACAACCAAAGAAAAAGAGAAGTTAAAAAAGAAATTGGTGACAGGATAAAAAAAAAGCCACCAACACTAAATTAAAAATGTCCTGATATGACAAAAAAAAAAAAAAATACAGAGTATATTATTAGGAGACCACAACAAAAAGGAAATCAAAAGAAACTTCTGATAGCAATTATTGATATAGCTGCATGAGGTGGAGTTGCGGATTTACGACAAAAATAAATGTAAGTAATATTAAACTGTAGTTTAAGATGTATGAGATTGTAAAAATAAAACTTCAAGTTTTCTATAACATTTTATTAATTCCACTTATTTTTAGTTTGAGAAAAAAAATGGAATATAATAATTTTAATAATCCGAGGATTTAAGACATTAAATTTAATGAGCTGTCAAAAGCTCTTGAAGATCATGGATACGAAATATCTAGAAGTGACGTGAATCTGGAACTTATTACTAAATATTATAATGCATAAAAATGAAAGAGACATGAAAAAACAGTTGTGCCACGTAAAAATTTCTGTTTTGGAAACACTTGCACCAGTTGTCGGCCCATAAAAAAGTCATGCAATCATAGGGATTATCGTAGCAAAAAATGTTGATCCAATGCTTGTGCATTTATAATAGAAGACACCACTTCCTAACTACGACTGGATGACAGCTGCACGTCATAAGTTTTTTTTATTGTTAAACGTTAGTATTACAATTAGATAGTTTCGCATCAAT